TAAGTTGCCAACCATTGTACGATAATAGAGGATACACTCCTGTTGATACGCATAATCAATGATCACAATTGGTCATTTAATTAGCCATTAGTAGTAATTCCTTAATTAAGTTCCCATAATGATCTAGTTACTGATCGAACGTACCATCTAACATTAATCATGACATTTCTATGCCAAAGATAAACTATTAATTCATAGGTTCACGTTATAATCTCCCTTATCAAGCTGTAAAATGCATTATTATCTTGTCGTGTACTTTTGACGTATTGTATATCGTAGAATGAAATTTACAATTATCGTATCTCTATCGAGTAAGTTTGTATAGTAACCAAAATCTAATTAAATATAAATCCAACAATTACAAAACCCTCGCCGCGCAGTCAGTTCTTTCGTCAGTTAGTTAAGTTACGAATTACAACTAGTTTATGCTTTAGATCGATCTATTGGCAATGTTAGTTAAGCAAACATGTGCCAGGCATTTAATTACTTATTCATCCAAACGGAATCGAATATTGTGTTACACGTAATACTCCCACTCGGCCCCGTGATATCTCTATATAAGAATTATCGTTAATTAACTATTACTTAAACAAGAAAGTATTTCTTTTCGGGTCCCAAGTGACTTAGAGATTGACTTACTTAAGGAGAACGGATTAACTGCGTGTCGCTAAGACTTTCCGACTGGTTTTTTTAAAAGAGTTTTACTTTCGAGTTTCGCTTAGAATATACCCTGAAGAATCGATTGGGATATTATACCCGATCTTCTCGTGAGATCGGTTTACGTGACGCGACCGCAAATGTGACGTGCCAAGTAATACCGCGAAATACCAAAACAAATGGTGGTCTTTGCGACAGAATGGCAATCCCAATAATTCTTTTCGAATTTTTCATTTGTCGCCGTTCGTTCTGCTATCCCGAACCTCAGTAGTCTCAGTTGCAAGAAATATCTTGAACACGGATCTGCAGAAACGGACTGAAAAATTTGTGTAATGAAATGACTACATCTGCCATGAACTGAATTACCTATAGCAATCGTTTGCCAAATATTGTTGAAGGCAACTGACCTAATTTTACTATATCAAATCAGTGTATATATAAAAAAGGCGACAGATAAGATCCAACTCCTTAAAAGAAATCGATAAATTTTTCATACAAGTATTCCTCTGCGTATGTACTTTATCCTATGCATGTTTATCAAAGTAGCTCCTTACTCGAAATACATGAATCTATTTTGTAACTTCATAATTAAACAAGAATAACTGCCTAACATTAAGAAAGTTGAAAAAGTTTCAGTCTCGATTTGTGCATGCTATATCGATCCGAATTGATCGAATAACATCGTCGAATAGAATCTAAGCCTTATTTCTACAACGATTGATGAAAAATATTCTCTTGCAACTAACATTACTCCGTCAATAGCGACGATAACGCGCCTAATTCCACCGAACAAAAAGAAAAAAGGTAGTGTATATATCTGGGTGTAGTGATTGTATTTATTCAAATCATATGTATATATGTATATATATATCTCTCTCTAGAGACACGGTAGTATCTCAGTATATATATATATATACACTTATATGTCGGACGCGTGCACGAATGACCGTGCATACAATGTACATACCTTTAAAAAAATACTTATTACCCTATTACGATATTCGCATGTGTTTTTAAAGGTATACATTTACACGAGCAGACATACGAGTGCGTGTACATACACATATGTCATAATGAATATAGTTACATAATAAAAGTAGTGTTATGTTGGTTGCTTATTCGCAATTAGTAATCATTATCATTAATAGGAGCTACAAAAAAAAATTATGCTCTCAAATATCGTTTAACTGCTTTTTTAAGCATAACTTGTTTTTACTGCCTCTCTCTCTCTCTCTCTCTCTCTCTCTCTCTCTCTCTCTCTCTCT